AAACTAGAAAAGCCACCAAATTTGAACATGAAGTTGTAAACAATGTAGGCGGGCCCAACAAAAAATTTAGGGTAAAAAACTAAATTTTGTCGAAAGTGCCACTTGGCGCTTAAGAAGATCGCGGTCTTGCCGAAAGTTCAAATTAGGGCCTACATTGTTTTTGGTTATATTTGGTTGATTAAGGCCAGAGCATTTTTCGGCAAAGAATTTTTAAAAAGAAAATTTTCAAAAATGGTTAAAAAGTCTTTGCTGAGGGCTTAACGGTAATGCCCTCGGCAAAGATTGACGTCAGGGGATGGAAGTCGTGTCAGGCGATGTTGCCGAGGGCCGGCCCTTTGCCGAGAACCCTCGGCAAAGAATTATTATTGTCGTGTGCTTATCTTTGCCGAGTGCCCGAGTATTTGCCCTCGGCAAATCCTCTGGCCCTTAGCAAAGATGCTCTGTCCGGTCGCTTGTCTAATAATACCACTTGGCCAAAATTGCTTAGAGTTCACCTTAAATTTAGCTGGCCATCGCACGCTCAATCTGTCCAATCACCCCACTCTTGCATTCAAGTTCAAGAGAAGGACCAACACACTACCCTTTCCCATTCGGGAAGAAGTGCACGGTCCAGTCATAGTGGATGGAGAAGGGGCAGAGTGGACGGACCTACTGGCGGGGTGTGTGGTTAGGCTAGAGTTCAGCGGGGCACACATGAAGGCCAGTGGGGCACGCTGTTGAGGAAGAGGGGTCCAAGGCACGGCTGACGAGTCGAGGCAGTGTCGGAGCAGTCGTACCATGGCCGCCACAGGTTCATTCTCTGTGAGTGCCTTCTAAGATGAAGCTGCATGCCAGACATCTACCCTTGATCGTGGTGATGGTACCCTCACAACATATTTCATCACCCACCTCCTCACGCAAGAGCCTACAGGCTACAGCCCGCATGATGCCAAGATACTAATGACACGTACTCAGACTAGCTGTGCATTGACCCACAACAACACGTAGAGGAGGAGGAGAGCGAAGATGACGACGGGTCGCCCGGCCGGTGTTAACAACTCTGGTGGCCTTCGGTGGCCATGGATTCGAAGCTCGCAAACGTTGGGAGCATCTTGCATTGCAAAAGATGGGGGAGGGGGATGGGGTGGGGAGCGCTGGAGAGGGAGTCGATGTAGAGTGGTTGTAGTATGCAGTGGAGGTGGTGACCTCAAATGTCCAAAGGGAAGAAAGCCCGTGTAAGAATATCCATATAGATGATGTGATAGTTTTTGGGGGAAGAAGAAACCATCCTTGGAGGAATTTTTTTTCATCCAATAGTTTTTGCCATAGACTTGGCTTGTTTTTGTCACTCTTGAAGATTTCTAGGCTCGTAGTAGAACGACAACCACCTCAAGCTGGAATGACATAATTTGGAATGAGGAGAGTACAAAATTTTGGAATTCACGCTCTGAGGGAGATGTTAGTAAAACGGGTTTATGTTACATTCTCGAAGTTTTGAGCCCAAGATTTAATGATTGCAGACGCCGTCCCAGCCATCACCCTGTGGGACCAAAGGCGTAGACGATCTGATAGGCTTTCTATCCTATCTCTAAACCTGGCATGCACCCAAAACCCGAAGACTAAATAAAGCTCCCGGAAAGAGCTAAACGTCGTCGATGAGTTAGCAATGACATCTACTAAAATCGAGTTCGATTAGTGAACTGAGATATTGGATGCGTGGTAGACTATATAGTACAGTAATAGTTGTATATGCATGACTTGGATGAGTCTGCACTTTACGTACGGGATGTAGAGCGGTTTGACCGATGGCTTAATCTTCAGGGCAGTTGATCAAGTGATTTCGATTTTGCAGCTGTTGCCGACCTTTCGAAAAGAAAACATTACACAATAGCTCATGAACTAGGACATCACCTCCGTACATATAACACCTTCCACTCTATCTAGGTGGTCCATGCACAAGACTGCAAGAGGCAGTATCACACAGGCGGAAGAAAGTATCCTCGGGCAGGCACGAGTGTACAGGTTGCGTCATTCAACGTCCAAAATAGCACAGCGCAGTCTTCGGTTCCAGAAATCAGAAAACCGAGCAAAAACAGCCAAAGAAGCGCATCATGAAACAATTCGGCTACATTTATGCTTCCCTTCTACGAGCACCGTCCTGTCGGCGTTCGTATCTCTTCACGATTGCATCTTGTGGAGTCCATCCAGCAATTGCCTTTTGCCTCCTTTCCCTTCTTGCAGGGAGAGGACGACTGCTCGTAGTAGTGCAAAATCTCTGAACTGTGTCCAAGGGATCGGACCCCAAAAGGTTTCTAATAAAGGGAGAAAAGAGTTGAGCCGCTTTTCTCAAGAACACGAAATGACGTTCAGAAATGGAGTTCTGCCCACATATATAATTGGTCATGATGAAATCGATACTAATCATTCTTACTCCCTTCTTGCTAATATGAGAGCTACTGAGCTAGGTAGCACCAGCAACTTGCTAGTGGCTTTGGACTTAATTTTCATAACTTTTTTTTTGAGTTTATTCTATGAGATAGTCATACGATAACTGATCCATAGTTAGAAAAGAAGATGAAAAAGAACTATTATAAACAAGATAAGCTATATTGAAGAGCAAATGTAAGCCAAACTTATTATTGCCGAAAAAAGCGCAAATTAAGTATTTTCTTCATGGCATATATATTCTATTCATATATAGTACATGCATAAGACTATCTCCAATAATGGAACCCAAAATACAAGACCCATATCATGTTTAGGTAGCGCTAGAGGCAAAAGTTTCAATACCCATTTTTGGTCTTCTCCAACAACAAAACCTAAAATAAAACCCTTTCTACAAATGAGTCTCGAGGAGAGAGGATACTCAGATTTAGGTTGTGTCTCTCCTGACACCTAAAATAGGGATCTCCAGTATAGGTACTCTGTTGGAGGTCGATACAGTACTGACGGAGACCCATTTTTGCTTTTGGGTGCCCTTATGGGTCACCTGTTGGAGACAGTCACAACTAAGAATTGTACGCTTCAAATTTATAAGCAACAGTTACGGATAAACCTACATATGACCTCTCTCCCGTGCGCATGGACTGACAAGTTTGGCCCTGAATGGAATGTGTGAATTTCCATGATTCCTTTGGAGTTTAAATGGTTGAAATTTATGTAAAATTTATTATATATACGCTCTTATTATTATACTCCATATGTCCTGTAATATAGTGCATTCTAGGATTTTTAAGATAAATTAAGAGAGAATATAAAAGACACATGTACCCTCATTTTATTTCCTAATCAGACGTTATTATCGGCGTGATTAATGATGATTGGTTAATAAATGGAAATAATTTAATACAAAACTAGCTTTTTGTCCTCTAAAATGCATTATATTTAAGGGCAAATTTTAAAACCTAGAATGTACTATATTATAGAACGGAGGGAGTAGAGCATAATGCTACATATCATCATATTATTTCCTTGTAGTTGTTTCATTGTATTTACTATTTAGGCTTGATCAACGACTTACCTTTTATAAACTACCACTCACACAATCATCATACTGGCACGTCTCCACTTTAGATATTGCGTACGAGAAACAACTTAATGTTTCTTGATCGACACTTAATTTGCATATATACAAGATTCCTATGATCATTAATGAACTACTCTGGAAACAGGATGCAATAGGCGGCGTGCCTCTTGACAACAAGATGCTTATGGTGACTTCGTCAATTTCAAAATATGTTGGCTCAATCTTTTAGAAATGCTTTTAGGAATAAGATGTGTGTGCATGTGCTCATAGGGTGAGTTGTGTGTGCATGTATATGAGTCTATACGTCGTATTATGATTAGGAAAATAAAAGTCTCATTAAATAGAGTGTTATGTTAGTGTTTTTGATGATATGGCAAAAAAAAATAATGAACAGATAAACTCTTTCATCCAGATATATGAAACCATGCATACTTTGCATCCAACACATTTTGCCTCTTGCATGTATTGTCTTTGAAGCAAAAACAATGTAACAGGGCTTGCATGTGCTATTTCATTCATCAATTAAATACAAAATACTATTCACATGACACTCTTGAAACATATGTCCTCTATCCACAAAAGAATGCAATTATAGGAACCGTGACGATCAATGTAGCTCAAGTTTAAATATTATTAGCATTTATGTCTTCAAATAAATTTATTATAAAACCATATTCTATAACTAATATAATGATACTTATTTTGTCTCATGAATGTTAACATTTTTTCATATAATTTTAGTCAAACTTTAAATTGTTTGACTCCTCAAAATGTGAGAATTGTTTTTTTTTTAGACGGAGAGAGTATATGTAAAAGCTAGCATGAGAATGGCCTTATATTCATGACTGAAGTATGCAGGTTCATATATGGTATATGTCGACCAATGTTTGATTTGATTTTAGGGACCACGCCAAGTCAGAAGCGCCCTACGTCAAACAGGAGAGTACATGTACAGCTCTAATTCCATTCTGAAGAGATGAATGATGTTGCCCTGTGCCTGTTGCTGGAAAAACTAGAGTGGTAGTAGTATAGTGTCGCTTACTCCTACGAAACATGTCTTGATTATCCGGATGGGAACATAGCCACCTCAACACTATTAGGTAACAGCAGCTTCTACATTATTAGTAGTGTTTGACTAATGACCAGCTAATATCAGGTAACAGCGGCCTGCAAGCTTGTGCTCCAAAGGACTGACGATTTGATTTTCTGCTGGTAAGAGAAAGAAGAAAAAACGAATCGTTGTATTTGATTGATGAGGATATCCCATGCATGCATAGACACGCTACGATTTGAGATCAATACACAAGAGAGAAGAAAGACTATAATGAAAATAAACTAAAAAAAATAGTCGTGGCAAACATGCATTATCATCCATAAGTAGCTAGCTAGTTGCATGCGTATTACGATCAACTGTGAGAGATTGTGGTGTTTGTTTCGTTCTACTGTTGTTTCGTTTTGCACATCTCATCAAGTGATGGTGGATATATGTTAGCTTTTAGATGGACCTGTTCTCTAGCATCGCCGAAAGGCTCGTCGTGCGCTGCCGCTTGAGCCCGGCGGCGCCGCCAGATGATGCTGCCGCTCCCGACTCCTCGGCGGCCGACGACGACGACGCCGTGCGCTCCATGACGGAGCGCAGGGCCTCCTGGATGGACGCGACCGTGTGCTGCGGCGACATGGGCGCTGCCTCCTCCTGCTGGTCGTCACCCGCCGCCGCCGCCGCCCCCTCGCAGCCGCCGGTGCTGTCGTCGGCGGTGATGACGAGCACGTTCTTGACGCGGCCGCCGAGGGTGGTGATCTCGGCCTTGAGCGCGCGCAGGCGGAGCGCCTTGAGCGCGCGGATGAGGTCGGGGAGGAGGTCGGCGCGGTCGTCGCAGCAGAGCGACGCGCGCACGAGGAGGCGGCCGTCCTCGTCGCTGGACGCGTCGACGGTGAGCTCGTCGGACTCAGTGGGCAGCGGGCACGCCTCCTCCGTGATCTCCGACGTCTGCCGCTTCAGCTCCTTGACGTGCTGGATCACCTCCGCCAGCAGCGACGCCTTGTCTGTCTGCACGCATGTGACACACGCACATGATCGATCCGATCGAAAACCACAAGGAGGAGGAGTAAATCACAAGGAAAACAACGCTAAGCTAGCTAAACAGAAAGAAAGACCACACGGGCCAGCACTAGCGTAGTTGCCAGAATGATGAGAGGGGGAAGTATGCGGTGTACGCATGCAGGCCAAAAGGAGGCCATGCGTGCCCGCCGTGGGCAGGCATGCTTCCGACTACCGAGCGTGGCGTGGGACTCACTCACTCACCGGCCCCCTCCTACTTGGAGCACGAAGATGGCTGGTAATCAATACAAAATGTTAGTGCTAGCTTATTGGTGTCGTTGTTGCGCTGTTAGTGGTGCTCGCACGCACGCTTCCACAAGCGATCTATGTCGTCGTCGCTCGCTCTTTTTCGGTCTCAAGTGGGGCATCAAACCATCACCACTCCCGATTCTTTTATACATGTTCTGCTATCGCGCCTACCTGGGGTCAAATGCAAAATGCATGCGCCTACTACTACTAAGCTATGGTTTGTGGTGCACTAAGAACTAACAGTGCAGCACGAGTATTTGTTAGTGGCGTGGCATACAATGCAATGGGATGCAGGTTCTGCAGAGGATCAGAGGCTCGGAGCCTTGGGAGTGTTGCTTGGGCGGTAGTAACCCGGATGCATGGAGGATCTCTCGAGATGGCCACCTTTTTGTTTATCTTTGCTGCACTGTTCATGTCCGAGACTGACACGAGCTCGCGTGTTTGTCTCTCCTCGGAGAGGCCCGGCAGTAAACTCCCGCATCGCGAGCTTTTTGTTCCCTTCCCGGTCTCTCTTTTCCGCGTCAACTAGGCGGCTCCCTCCCTCCCCATGTCTCCTCCTACCTCAGCCCTACACTACACCTGTGCTAGCTAGTGCTATCGGATGGAGAGCCAGCATCAGCTCGCTAGCAATGGAGTTCGCGGGCACGCGGATCGGACACATGCATGCGTTGCAAGAAGTTGCATCCGTAGATCACTCGATCCGGCCGTGTATGTATGGTCGTGACGACGGACGGCGATCGAGCTAAGGACGGACGTCGATTATTACCTTGGTTGTGTTGGGCAGGAGGCTGCGGAGGCGCGCGAGGTGCGCGTTGATGCGCTCGCGGCGCCTGCGCTCGGCCTCGCTGTGGCTCTTGGACGCCGCCAGCGCCTTGGCGTCCATGATCTCCTGCGCGGTCATCCGGCCGAAGTCTCCGAACGGCGACGACGCGAAGGGCGGGGGCATCATCATCCCTGAGCCGCCGTGGTGCCCCATCCCCATGTAGAGGTCGCCAAGGCCGAGCGGGTCCGACGACGTGGACGGGCCGCCCGAATGGTGGTGATCGTACGCGAACTGGAGCGCGCGCCGCGCGTAGAAGTCGGCGAAGAACGGCGGCGGCGGGGGCGGTTGCGGGGGGAGCGGCGGCAGAAGCGGGAAGAACGGGGACTGGTGACCGCTGCCGCCGACGCTGTGGTGGTGGTGGTGGTCCTGGTGGAGCTGCTGCTGCTGCTGCTGTGGCGGCGCGGACGGCGGCGGCAGTGGCCAGCAGAGGATCTGAGGCGGCGCCATGGTTGCCGCACTCACGCTCCCCACGCTACTGCTCGCCTCGAACACCATGCCCGCGGCGTCTTGACCACCGCCGCCATCTCCTACTCCTTGCTCCACCACTCCGCTCGTGGCGCCACCGCAGGCCGCCCTCGCGTGGTGCTCGAGCTCCTCCTCGTCGTCGTCGACGAGCACTCCAACTTCCTGGTGGTGGTGGTGGTGGTGGTGGTGGTGGTCGCCGTGACCACCCATCGATCGTCGATCCGATTGGAGGAGCGAGGAGCTAGCAGCAACTGGTGGCTCGCAAATAAGGTTGCGGTGTCCTCCTACTCCTACTACTACGTTTAATTGGCGTGGAAGCGAGATGGATGGATGCTTCTCCTGGTGTGTCTAGGGCTAGCTTTTGTATAGGGTGTGTCATGTGGCAGCATGATGCGCCTTTCGGCCTTTTTGTCTTTCGCTTATGATCTCGCTCGGCCTCGCAAGAATCATGGCGACCTCCCCCTGGCCTGTTGATCACACACAGACATACAGCAAAAGGCCTCGCCTTTTTTTTCTCTCGCTTGAATTCGCTCGCTCCCGGTGGCCTGACCTGGCCTTTGCCAGGGCCGGCCCTCCAGACGACCTGACCTGACCAGCTGATAGCATTACTTGGCTGCCACGCCTTTCGATGGCCCTGTGGGGGCAAAGGCTAGTAGGGTAATATAATTACTAGGCTGGAGCAATGGAGACAGGAGGGGGAAAAGGGCGTGTAAATGGGGCTGATCGATCAGGCCTGGAACAGGACCAAAAGGGGGGACGCGTTGTGAGGGAAACGGAGGGGGCAAAAGATTGCCTGGACTGGAAGGCGAGTGGAGTGGCCAGGACGGGGGAGGAGAAAGAGCTCGTGTCATGCCTCATGCGTGTGTGGATGCCTGACTGAACGCCTGCCTCGGTCAAGGCCCATGTTATGCAGCAGCAGCAGCGAGCGAGCGGGCAAGAGCGAGCACCCGTCCACTTTACGAATCCACGCCTCCCCGCGCGACACAATCATTGTGTCTTGGAATACACTCCTCGCCGGCCGGCCTGCGCGCGCGCGGTTTGCAGCTAGCGGCAGAGATAGGCTATAGTACGAGCGAGTAGACGGATTTGTTACTCTAATCCCGGCCTGCGTGGGCGCAGGATTGAACAAAACAGGATCCGCGCGAAAGGGCAGGCTAATGCCACTAATGGCGCCACTCATCCGAGCCACGATTATCAAGTGGCCGGTTTCAAATCTTGGCCCATGATTACAACAAGGCCCGCCCGCGCCCTCTCCGATCCGCGCGCGCGCGCTCGAGGCACCTAGCTCGCGAGGTCGCGAATGGGGATGGGGGATGAGCATGAGATCCCGCGGCGGCCCGGCCGGCCCCTGCATGCATGCCGGCGCCATGATGCGCCCCGCCCTGCCGCGACGCGCGCGTCGTCGACGACACGATCATGCTGCTGTGCCGCGCTCCGCTCGCGCGGGCCGGCGAACGAGGCGCGCGCGGGGGCGACAAGTGGAGCAGCCTCCTTCCGCACCCCAGATATCGCGTCGCGTCCCTCCCCGCCCCGCGCCTTCGTGATTGCGTTCGTACGCCGGCACAATGACCGCCCTGGCGCCCTGGAGGATCGGAGTGCCGGGGAGCGGGAGCGGACGGAGACGGAGGAAGCCACGCACGCACGCACCGATCGAATCGGGTTCAGAGCACGCAAGATTCAGGTTGCCGCTGCATCTGCATGGCACGGCACGCGCCCTTGGGCCATGTGCGCGTCATGCAACGTGACGGTGACGCGCCCGAGCCGAGCGCGCGCCTGCCAGATTCAGAGGCGGGCCGGGGAGGGGTGACTAGCCGGCAGAGGCAAAACGACCGGCGAGAACTCGTCATGGCGTGGCTCCGCCGCATTCACTCTGCCCTTGTTTGGGCTTGCTCCCTGCTCGTAGCGCTGGGCACGTCGCCCCTCGCTGGCGCTGACGCTGTGCTACAGTATCGAGAGTATTTATGTTTCGCGTACGCATACGGAAAATTAAAAGATCGGACGATCCTTAGCAGTCATTCGAACCGCAGTCTCCAGTCTCCACACTGTAGTTCCTTTTGGCCCCTCTGTACTTTCCTTTGCCAAAATGGAAAGTGTGAGAAGCCCAGATCAAGTTGGCCTCAGAACCGTGCAAAATGGACTAACACGCTAAAGTAACACCACCCATTTTGTGTTGGTAAAGAAAACAAAAGAGGCCCTGAAGAAGAAAAGCCAAAATATATACCTTATAATGTTATTATAATTGTTAGAGTTAAATGCATCGTTGGTCCATTAACTTTTACCCATGTTTCACTTAGGTCCATCAACTACGAAAGACTCCGTATGCTTCATATAGTGCAACAATTTCACAATGATTTGTGGAAGTTATTGCCTTCCATTATATTCCTCCATAAATACCGGCTTTTATGCAGGATAGGCCATTATAGGGATGGGATAAATGGCCAACATGGTTTTTCAGGTCCATAAACTTTTGAAGTTATGCATCTTTAGTCCATACCCATTTGTTTATCTTTTTAATCTAACGTGGCAGTCCACGTTGTCGCTGACCGTTCTTGTGGAGCTAGTCCATGGTCAGCAGTAGCAGGGCGTGGCGCGCTGCTTCCATTGTGGGATAGGGCGGGCGCTGCCGCAAGTGTGAATTCACTCGTCCGGGCTGCTCGTGGGCGGCGCCGGCCCTTGCCCCACCCATTAAGAAATCAATGCAGTCTCTTTTGTGCCCTGTGCCTACCCTCCCTTCCCTCGCCCCTCTCCTCCTCCCATAAGGTCGCCATGGCCAGCGAGCAGGCGCCCCCCACCCTCACCCTTGCCCTCTCCCCTCCCTCCCCCCGAGAGCTTCGCTCTCCCGCCTCCCTTCCGCCGAAGGTCGCCATCGAGCCTTCGACGACGGCAGCTGCTTCGGCGCGACGCCGCCCGCCGAAATGAGCTCCACGTGAAATCAGACCGAGATCGCCGAGCAGATTGATCAAAGCATAGATCCTAAGCCAGAGATGCCCTCGCCTCCCGCTCGCCGTGAGCCTCCTCCATCAATAGCTCGCCTTCGCCTGCAGAAGCCTTGTCTCCAGCGACCCTTCCACCGCCGTGACCTTGTTAAAGCCACCGTCCATTTCGCCGCCCGAAGAAGATCCAAGCATCCACGTCGCCCTCGCGAGCCTCCGCCGATCAAAGCCTTTTCCGCGAGGCCAGCCCCGTCAGTTTTCAGCCATCGCTCTTTCTGACCGCCCGCGAACGACTCCGCTGAAAGCCTCGCCGCTTCCTCTCTCGCCAGCTGTGCTCCGCAGATCACCGCTTGTTCGCAGCACAAGAACGATCGATCGCCGCCGCGTGGACGCGCACGCGTCTGGCGCCTCGCGCCGCGCCGCCGCCTTGCCGCGCTCCGTGATCGGCAACCTCCCGAGCCACTGGTGAGCCGCTCTGTGACCCAAGGCCCAACCTATCTGTACCTAGCCATCGACGCCCGCTCATCCGACCGCCTGCAGGAGTTTCCTCACCCCGGCGCCGGCTCTCCTTCGACCATGGTGACCCGCCGCACCATCGGTTGCGCTACGTGGGACACGCCTTCCCCTACATCGGCCCTGCTTGCACCGAACCCTCCCTGCACCAGGCGCCCTGCCGTCACCAAGCCCGCTGGTGAGCACACCCGAGACCCACCTTTTTCCTTGTTTCCGCCTTGGCCTATGTGCCCGGCCTTCGAGCCGCCTCGTGACCTCGCCTGGATGCGCGCGTACGCGATTCCCGCAAGCTCACGTTGCCTAGTCCGTTCGGACACCATCAACACGCGATGCCGCACCGGTGGCCACCCACGGTCGCCGCACAGCAGAGCGCCGACACGCACACGCAGCCGTAGGCACGTAGTGCCCCGCCACCCTTCGCACGGGCCGTGCACTTCACGGTCGCTCACACGACGCTGCCGCGGCCGCAGCGGCGTCGGTGCGGCTTGTCACCGCGAAGGCGTCCCACACTGCGGCACACTTGCACAGCACGGCGCTGCCGCGTCACTCGTGGCAGCCATGTCCATGTCCTCCGTGGACCCCGTGATAACCAAGGCGAGTCTTTCAAGGCCGCACTGGATCACAAACACGCACTAGCACAAGCACAAGCACGAGCCCTTCCGTGGAGCCAGGATTGTCACTTCCGGCCGCCCCGCCTTTGCGCGACCTCATCTCGCATGACTCCAGAAGACAGATCGGCGACAGAGGCTCGCCGACGGCTTGCGGGTGGAGGTGCGGCGGGTGGCTCTGAGTCGGTTGCGTGTCGAGGGCGCGCGGTGGTCACTGAGCTACTCGACGAGGATGGAGGCGGGTCGTCGGCGGCGGCTAATGGCACGAAGGCTCGGTGGCTGGGCTGCAGGCGAGCTCCATGCGGGCGGCGTGGTCGCTACCGTCGTGGCCTCAGGCGTCTCGCCATGGTGGCCTTAAATGAGAAGGAGGCAGGGAGGATGGGGCTGCGGCAGCTGGGAGAGGGAGAGGGCAAGGGTGTGGGTGGGGCTGGCCTACTTGCCCCTGTGGAGCAGCCAGACGAGGTGCTTCACCGCGGCGGCCAGGTATCGCCGCCGCCCCTATGGAGCAGCCGGACGCGGCGCCGCTGCCTGTGCTGACCGTGGACTAGCTCCACAAGAACGATCAGTGACAACGTGGACTGCAACGTCAGATTAAAAAGATAAACAAAGAGGTATGGACTAGAGATGCATCACTTTAAAAGTTTATGGACCTAAAAAATCACTTTCGTAGTTGATGGACCTAAGTGAAACATGGGTAAAAATTAATAGACCAACGATGCATTTAACTCTAATTGTTATTAAAAGTACCTCGGTCCATAATCTCTCACTCCCAGATCTCTTCTTTCGTCTCTTGGTTTGTCATCTCTCATTTAATTTAGAGTTGTAAACCTTCACTAGTGTCACACCACTTATGCGATGGCCTAGTCAGCCGTACCTGAACCAGTAGCAAAAGTTCTTACCACAAATCTGCTTAATGTCTCATTCAAAAGAGCTTTAACCAGAGATAAATGGGTGGAGTGGCAAAGCTTTGTTGCAAGAGTAACTAATATTATTAATTTTATATATTTATCCTATTTTTTTTTTATTTTTTGTTGTTACTCAGGTAACATGCAATATTTGTCTCTTGTGAGTTGTTCTTTTAATTATACTATACTTGTCTCTTGTGAGTTGTTGCCTGAAACTTTTCAGAAATTCTGGCACCTGAAATATAACAACT